GCTTTCCATAACTTCAATGACTTCTGAATAGGAACAGCAAATAAATTACAAGCATTGCTTAAGATTTCGAATAGTTTTGCGTTTATTGTCTCAAAAAAGGATATCTTAAAATTACCTCGGGATTCAATGGGATTAGTCTCGATAACCAGCGTATCGAAAAAATTGCGAGTTTCCATTGTCTTATATCCCAATGTTTCAAGTCCAATCTATATACAACGTCGTACACATATAAAATTTGCTTAACGCCATTCAATAAATACAGATCATAGCAAAATTAGGAAAAATAGTAAAACAAAAGCTATTGCAGCAAATTTTGAAATCATAACATCTACAAGCTAGCCAAATGCGAAATAATCTATTTTAAAGCAGTAGAATAGGCCAGACCCATCGTTAAAATTACGGAGGCGAAATTTTCATAACCCTCTTCTCGACTATGAGATTAAAAAAAAAACTACGCATACAAATTCAAAAGAGGGCAAAATTTCACTGCCCTGCTTTCAAATTAAGAGTTTTACAAAAGAGATTGATTTAAAGCATTTTACCTGCAACGTCACAGTCAAGGAATGCACTCGCCTAGCAATTTTTTGCAATCCATGTGGACCATGGTATACTCCATACATAGCAGCAACATTGGCAAGTAATGCCTGCGCTGTACATATATTGCTCGTTGCTTTGTCCTTTCGTATATGCTGCTCGCGTGTTTGCAGAGCCATTCGATAAGCCTGATTGTTGTCTGAGTCTATCGTGGTTCCAATTATCCTGTATTCAAGATATTTCTGTTACATTCACTCACAGCCTAGTCATTTGAGGCACATGAGATTCTGATATGCATCGAAAAATGCATCGGTTTATAGTGTACCTTCCCGGTATGCGACGCATATTAGACTTGGAGGTAGCAAAATAGGCAGCATGTGGGCCTCCAAAACCCATGGGGACTCCAAATCTGATGTTTGCAATAGTATGCATTGCCTGTACTCCGTTAGTTTTCGAAATTTATCACACAGCGGTTTACTTACAACACCATCATCAATTACCTCTGCATTGATCCCACTACTACATCTGCTCCATAAACAGAAGGAGGTTTAGCAATACATAAAGCAAGAGGGTCAGCTACAACAACCAATTGCGCACCGGCATCATGAAGAGTGGAGCCAAGTTTACTAAAATCTTCTAACACTCCAAAAGTATTCGGATATTGTAACAATGCTCCTATAAAAAAAAAGAAAAACATGCATTCGGAACATACGAAAAAACAGAAAATAAAACTAAGGAGATGAAAAATACGAAAGCAACTCTTACCGCATAAATTCTTCATTTTCGAGAAATCCGCATCATTATGATTACCGACAATTATTTCTATCCCACTTGACGAAGCGTGAGTATGTAAAACATCTATTATTTGAGGATGCAATTGATCCGAGATGTAAAATAGATTTCGATTATCTCGTGAGGCTGAATTAGAACATTTTTATAAAAATTGGCGTTTTCAAAATATAGTATAAACTATACTATTGAATAAAGGTAACGAAATCTGCAAAAGAATCATCGCTTTGATAATTCTTTATCACCTCTATGCACCATCTTCATCGCCTCCGCAGCTGCACTAGCTTCGTCGAGTAGCGAGGCATTTGCAATATCCATACCAGTGAGTTCTGCCACGATAGTCTGCATTCATCATTTCCAAAATATAATTACGTGAACATATTTCAAAAACACTTTACAAAACATTAAGAATTGCACACAAATCTCTTTATGTCGCATATTTAAGTTATAATTGAACAAAAAAGTGAAGTTTACTTCGTTTAAAACTCACTGCATTAAAAAGTCTTCGAAATACAAAACGAAAGATATGTACATTTGAAAAGAGTCTTTGCAAGACTCTGCAATTGATAAAAACATACAACTTAGAGGAAGATGAAGTTTCACACGAAAATCGACCTGAAAATTGAGTAAAGATTCGAGACGCCCTTGAGAAATTTCCGCCTGATACGGAGTATATGCTGAATACCAAGTGGCATTTTCCATAAGATGACGTCGAATCACTGCTGGAAGTATACAATCATGATATCCCATCCCTGAAAAGCAGAAAAAATATTTTTCAAAAATCTGTATCCAATTGAGTTTTCTACAATAAATGTCATCCATTTCTGTTTATCCTTCATTGAAACAAGTTTCTCTACAGAAGCATATACTTGATACCAAAAAGCATTTCCAAGGGACCGTACCGATATAAGATTTAAAAATTTGATTCATGCTCGCTAAATTTTGCAAATTTTGTGTTATTTCATCCTCGCTAGCGCTCTTCGTAGGGATGCCATGATCATCCGGCTCTTGTTCCCAGGCAGGAAGACGAATCGATGCAGGAATCGTCTGAATGACAAGAGCCTCAATACTGGGTACTCCTACGCATTTAAGCATCTCAGTAGTATCTTCCCTAGAAGAATATGACCCAACATGTCGATTCAGGAAGGGAGAATCAGAATATAGTCGAAAACATAAGTCCAGACAAATTCCATGCGTTGTGCGACGCTTTCGGTCAGGATGATTCCCCGTCCAACGCAATGCAACGCTCATCGAACGTAGTTGAGAAACTCTACTGAAGAGGTGAGAAGTGAAAGAAGTAAGGATACTTTCCCCGCAACTCTTATAGTTTCGGTAGTTGGTCATCATCTTGACTACGCAGGTTGCAAATTACTGAGTGTGCCCCGGAAAGTGATATAAGTGAAACGTATTCTGTAAGACGGAATCAAGTGTACTACACAGACTGCAGGGGAAGCAGCAGAAAAGTTCTTTTGTACCAACTGAATCAAGGTGAAGAAAGGTATTCTGTTTGTTTCAATTTCGACCAACAAAGCAAGACTCCCTCCGTGACTATACGGAAGGACGAATTAAAAATACCAGCAGGAAAAGTTGGCCCGCACTGTCGCCGTAAAGTCTTGGCATGCGCAGAATCCATTTTACGCCTGCGCGATTCTTTTTGTACTGGAAGAAAATGATCACGCTCCCTGATGAGATCGATACGTTCATGGAATCCACTTATCTGAACTACCTACGGTGAGTACGAATCTTTTTTACGCGGTATTTTTGAACAGCTAGAGAACCGGGCATAATGCTCACTGCAGGTACTGTTTTGTTAATCAAGACCTTGTTGCAGTTCATTCACATTTTAACTATTGGAATGGCCACATTCTATTATTTTTTAATGCATAAAGATAATGTTATTACCTGAAACAAATTAACCTAGCAGTCAATCTCTAATTTAAGCTAAAAAGGATAAAATGACAAATTGACCTAGCGATTATGTCAATTTCTAACGAGACTAGCGTGGATATACGAAATGCTAATTCAATCCTGTACATAGCACTGCATGCTCTGAAGACTGAGAATAAGGTAAGTTCCAGTTTTTGCTCAGTTTCGTTTTTTGTTATATATTTGTTTTGAAGAGTATGTTTTTTAGAGATTCTTTGAAATTCTTCTATATCTTTTCGTGAGATATTTTCGCAGGGTAAACAAAGTAAACTCTTCACTCCGTGAGAGTGAAATATAACTTCGAGGACACCTGCAAGATCGTAGCATAGTAGTGACACACTGAGATAAAGTTTGTGTTTCTTTTCTCGTAATTTTTGACGCGTGATGCACGATCGTATTGATATGCATTAGTGATATACCTCACTTCATTTTTGTACGCAGGGTGCGTATGACGTATTAAAGAATATGTAGAAGTTTGCCAGAGAATGGACGAGTAAGTTGACTTAGTTACTCTTAGTCAATACAAAGAGCGGAAATTAGCAAATAACGAGAGCTTACGTCACTCTTTTTAAAGAAAAGAACAGTTTATGTTACCTCCAGATTATTCAATTATTACGCGCTCGCTAAATGAACTAACCCGAATAATTCATTTATGGATTGGCAGATCAGGTCATGAACCGCCTGGTTACACAAACATTAAATTTCCGTTGAAAAAGACTCCAAAACAACACGCTAAATTCACGTCGGTAAGTATCGATTTCAAAATGAATCCGCTTCTTGTCATAGTAAGTGGCTTAGCTATATCTAAAATGTTAGGACAATTGAAAGCAGAGATGTTTGTGAACTCAGCATACACTCTTCGATATCCTTTCAGAAATACGAATTTTTCCAATTGAAATTCTCTGCGGATGCAATCCAACATTTCTATTTTTAGTAAGCATAAATTGGGGCGTTAATTCGTTCATATACGATCAAGCAAAATCATGCTTTGTTTTCGCAGCTTTCAACTGCTATTACACATCTCACTTACACTTTTTATGGGTGTAAACACTGTTTTTAGTCATCTCTGCGTGTATGGACATATGCTACTAGCTCAATGTTAACTCTTTACGTAGTGTCTAAGCATATTTTATCTTTCTTTCCATTGTCTCTCATACTAATGTAACCGGGAATTCCTTAACGGCTTGTACAAAATTTTAAGACTCCCGCAGTTACGAGGGTTGAATTAAAGAACAGATACTATGAAATCCCAAATGCGCATACAGAAGCTATTCTACACCTGCATATTCGCATTTATGGAGTGTATGGAGCAGTAAAGTTTAATTTAGCTTCGCTTAACGCGTTGTACTATTACTTTCTACTATTCAGTTTATGATGAAAGATTCAAAAAAGCAAGTTTTTGCACTCTGAAAAATGAAAAGGCAAAGAATATAGTAGTACTACATCTGTTACATGTAGGGCCTCTTAAACAAACTAGTTATAATAATTATAGATACTCCATTTTTGTCATCAATGCAATATTTTACAGGATACAAAATTCTGACAATTAATTTTACATCAAAAGGGCACGACCAAAAACACTAAATGCAAAAATCTTACAGCGTGGTCAGTAGTCCATCGAATGCCTTTTCCTGGTCTCAATTTATTATCTAACCGGGGCGTTTTCTTCATTGCTCTCGAGACTGAATACAATAAAACATATCGGAATACAATATATAATATGACAATCCATAAGATAAAATTGTTTGTTAGACAGTTTGTCCGAGTGGTTAAGGAGGTGGACTCGAAATCCACTGGGCTTTGCCCGCGTAGGTTCGAATCCTGCAGCTGTCGATTTTAATGAATAACTCAATAAAACAAATTCGATATAATACGACTGTTTCTTGAGTGTTGATGATACTCTTCGCGTATAGTACAAAATTGTAAGTTACTGACCGCTCTCTGCGTTTTACGTCATCAATTTTCCACAAGTATATTGGGAGGAATGAAAAATATGCTCAAAATCAATAATAAATTTTTGCGCAGAAAAATACTTGCTATATTTTAGTATAATGAAGCTTCGTTACGGAACATTACTATTTGTACAAAAATACGTTAGTACATAAAGAAAATACAAAAGAAAACGGTTTAAAATGCAGCAGATAAAAAACAATTTCGACAACGGCAGGGATCGAACCTGCGCGGGCATAGCCCAATGGCTTAGCAGGCCACCCCCATAACCACTCGGGCACGTTGCCTTGAAAATTGGTATTGGAACATTCATAAACATTCTTTACTAAAATAACAACACAGCATTAATAATAGACTAAAATAAGAAGAGAGTAAAAAATTTTCCAAAAATAAAGCAAGGTATGCAGTAATAATTTCGTAGTATTCATTGTGTTGAGAATAGAATTGACAGTACGTGATTCGAGCCCGCACACTGCTGATTGAAGTAGAGAAAATAAGGTTGCAATTTTTTGCGGAACAGTATTTCAGAGTTTTAACCTAGTTAATTAGGCGGAAGAAATCTTCTGTTATAAATTTTTTCAATGATCGTAAGAAAAAATGAGCCCAGAGCGATTCGAACGCCCAACCGTCTGATCTGGAGTCAGACACGCTACCATTGCGCCATAGGCCCGTGATATTAGGGTGAATTTTTAAAATAACATCGTATGACGTCGGCCTCCACCACTTCCTTCAATATTGACCACTATGCATTTCTCAATATGCTTTTCCATTGGCATCTCCCGTCACCTTCACTAAAAAACGTATTTACAAAAAGCAGGATGCAAGTAGATGAGCCCCTATTTCTAAAATAACATTGTATGATGTCGATCTCCGCCATTTCCTCTGAGCACCACTATTTGATGCATTTCTCACTTTGCTTCTCCATTGCCGTCGCCTGTCATTCACAAAAAAGCAGGATGAAAGTAGATGAGTCCCCATTCCAATACAGCTTTTTTGTTCATTGAATGATACTATCAGCGGTTTGCCGTGAGATTTCTACATTTTGATTCGTGTTGCATTTTGTCAAATCTTCAAGCGTACACTTTCAGGGGTTGCCCTTTAGATTGTTTGGGGAAGATATCGATTTCATAATAGCAATTACAGGAATGAAAAAAATTCAACATTGCTTTACGGTATAGCAATACATACTAGCCTTAAAAATATTCACTGCCAAGTTACACTACCGCGGGAGTAAAACTTTTCCAATAGTAATGTAGCAATATCTATTTTGGATTTACGCATACTTTTGTGAAAGCTCTACAAAAGTTTCAGATTTTTGGCGGGCTAGATGAATTGTTGATAACAAAGTTATCGAGTTAACAGAAAAGAAGACGCCCATAAGTATTTGTTCGTGCGCACATCAAGTAGAAAAAGTAAAAAATATAAGCAGCCAATCCCAATCAAAATAAAAAAAAACAATTTTCAAATAATTCCAATCTTGTTCGCTACATCAAGGGCTTCATGATCCGCTGTAAGTCGGACATATGCTTTCTTCATACCATCCGGACTGAAAACAAACAAAAATTACAATACTCATGCATAGCACAGAAACCAATTTGTAAGAGAGGACAAAAAGCATAATCAGATTAATTGCAACAGTAAATATATAAAACTTACCGAATAAGAGTGTTCACTTTACTGCAAGTAACCCCGTAGAGTTGCTTTACGGTAGCCTTTATGGTATTTTTAGTTGCCTTTGTATCAACCAAGAATACAAGTGTATTGCCTTCTTCAATTTTCTTCATTGCAGATTCAGTAGTAACTGGAAAACGGATAATAGAGTATTGATCTGCCTTTTTACCGTATTGTACGTTTAAGTGCCTAGGATACTTAGGATTTCGTGTTTTTCGTAAAGTTTTTGGTCTGTACAAGCAAAAAAATTCCCAAATTTAATTACAAGATTAGAAGATGTACAAAAGAAGAAGTGAGAAATGTGCCTTGTTGCGCTTCCAACTGACGGCAAGGCAGCTAAGAAAAAACCTTCCCGCTAATTATAGAGCGTTATTGTAGCACCAGCATGAAGGTTAATAGCCTACATCTGGCCATAAGCCAAGACATATCAACTGATTAAAGGTGCTGAAAAAAGCTAGCCAAGATAATCTCGCGCGGTTTCAATGGTACACAAAAAAATGTCAGCAAAACAATCTAATCAAGGTATCAATGACAAACCTGAAGAAATGAACATTTCTTCGTATTTTGCTCTTTTTCAAAGCACTCGATTTTGTCACAGCTTTCCCAGTGGCCACAGCCTTACGAAGAGCTGGAAAAAAAAGCAAATAAAACAGAATAACTCATCGCACAATAGGAGGAAAAAAATATATTCAACAAGAAATACAAGACTATACGGACACATGTCTATGCAAAGCATAAAATATCAGCTAGGTAGAGCTACTGCTTCTCAATAACTCGACAAAATGGGGAAAACTGGGAAGATGAGGGTACTATTTTATGAATGATCTTTATTGAATTACTAGACAGATAATACTTCTATTCTACCTTTATTGTCAGGAGGAGCCATAATGCAAAGTAAGAGAAGACGCTGCAGATAATAGGGTCAATCCCAAAATTCAACAGATTGATTTGAGAATAAAGAAGAGAAGACGAAACTAACAACTTAACAAGCTCTACAGTTCTCAACAGCGAAGAAAGCTGGTTAGAAAAATGCTACTGTAATGAAGAATAATCAAGGGTAACGGCGCTCTAATTGTGTGCATCCTGTGCTCTGGTTTCTTCTTGCCGAGTCGAGTGTAAACGTACTTCGGATTGTAGGGGGTCGGACTCTCATCTCATGTGCGGTTGGCCTTTACTTGATGCATGCGAACTTAACTTAGTTGAAGAGTACGACCATTCCTTTCACAAAGGTTTACACGCAAAACACAATGAGAAAATGCTTTCCTAGTGATATCCTTTACAAACGAATGAGCATGATGATACTAAATTCTATTATCATTTTTATCACTCCGAATAAGTATAAAACCTGCTGAAGCACTTCGCATATGAAGAATTAGCATTATACTAAGGTTGAGGTTGGCAACATTTAAAGAAAATTTCAAGCTTTCCATCTTTAAAATTTAATAAGCCTCAGTTTTTGGAGATTTCTTTTATCACGTTAGAATAAAATCCGATGACCACTATTAACCCTATTGAGGAATATGGAACAGTTAGCATTTTATGTGAAAAATGTAAATATACAGTCACGATAAAAGATGCGAAAGGTAAATGTAAAAGAAAATCTCAGTAACGATGTTTGTAGATATGAATGCTAAAATGAATTTCAAGTAATGTTTAATGCATCTCTTTAGACAATACGAGCTACTCTCATGTGTCTTTCGTGGATTCATTTCTTTGAACAAATCGAGAGGTAAGGCGTAGCGACTGGGACGACAATACATTCTGCAGCAATAATGGTAGTCTTACAGGGATTTATTAAACAAAAAATGGCACTGTTGCGTTGCTGGGATATTACAGAAATTATAGAAGTAAGTGGTACTATAACTGAGGGAATGCTGAATATGCTGTAAAGTAGTAGAAAAACTACAAGTTTCCCTCCTGTACTACTGATCAAGGTAAAGCAATCTGTGGCAATGAAATTATAGCAACATGGAGTACCTATTTTATTTTATTGCACAATTTTACTTTTATTTTTATTACTTTTTGAATGCATAACTCATTTTTAATTTAAGATAAATCAACAAGCCACAGTTTCTTTCAAAGATATTGTGGTTTACATTCAAAACAAAATACGTACATCGAACACCACAGCAGTACAGCAATTGGAAATAGCGCTTCTTCCTTGTTGCTTTTCCTGTAATCAGGATGCACTAACCATTTTCTTAGAGGGGGGGAATAAATATAATATTAAATTATATTTTTCTGTTCTTCCATGCAGAATAGAAGGAGCGTATAATTTTTCTTTTTCCTTATTATTTCCACACAGTAATTGCTAGTGTAAAGCAAATTATATTATTTCTTTTGTAATTGTTGAAAATGCCCTTCATGTTAACTGAGTAGAAGCAATCTATTAAGCGGCTTTCCGCATAAAAGAATATAAGAGTATAATCAGTCGGATTCTCGTATTAGCGACTGGAAGTACGTGACTAATTCTAGTAGAAACCATTCACAGAAAACACCACGTTCGCTCGTGCTGTAATAGGAAGCACAACTCTTCTGACCATTACTAGCACTTTGTCAATATCCACTTAGTTATGCTTTGATGGATACTGTAGATGCACAATTCAAATTTTGGGATAAAGCCAACATTAAAATAATAGATCTATTTTAAGCTTTTCCATTGTTGTTTCCGCTTACTTTATAGATAAAATTGGGCAGCTGGGAGAAAACGTGATGAAAGCAGCTCAGTAGCATTGTAGCAATCTTTTGTGCAAAAAACACTTTTCAGGGTCTTAATTAAAATTGTGGTTTTACTTCTGTTATTTTACGGCTTCTAAAATTTTGCAGTAACACTATCCATCATTTAATAGCATTAGAACAATCACAGATAGACATATTCCAAGCTTCAGTTTTACTGATATAGTTTGTAAATTTTATTTTATCATCCCACACATTAGCTTAATCTTGTCAAGAAAATGCTTCTTTTCCCCGCATAATACAACTTCCTTTGAACAATGTAAGCATTCAAGCTGTGGAGCTTCGAGTTTCAATGTACTTTACTATTGAAACTTTCATTTTAGTGTGTCCTATTTCAGATAATGCAATTTGCAAAAGAAAGAAAAATTTTGCGACAATGCAAACGACTGTCGAAGCAACAACTATGACAAAGTCAACCATTGAAAAGATGGTTCCTAAGTATGTTACCCTTAGGCAATAATTTTTGGGAATGAAAGTTTATTTTCTATTCAATGATGCAATCAGTGCAAAAAAAAATTAGTATGAAGAAAGTTCAACATTACGCTTTTGCGATAAGAAGGAAACACGTCAGGTTATATAGTTAATTTTTAGCTGAACTGTAAAATATTTTCTATTGAGAATTCTACTACTGTATTTGTGTTCTAGAAAGTAAAGCAGAAACGCTATGTTTACAAAACTGACATTTAAATTTGAATGAACTACGCTCTTACTGGTTCCTCGTCAGTCGCAAAAAAATTGTTATTGTTTGCTAAATCTGTGCTGGGGCAATCTAAAATCACCTTGCTGTTAACACTTATTTGCACAAAATTATTAATATTGATAAGTAGTAAGAATTGAAAGGAAAGCATTAACTTGCTACACTAGCAGAGTATTAATCGTA